TCCTCCACAACTAGATTGAAGAACAAAATGACAGCAACTTGTCTGTTCCCCTTCCCCCAATTCCCCAGCACTGTTCCCATCCCCCCAATTCCCCAATTAAAAAAAAAATTTTTGGTTGTTTGTTTTCGTATTGTTGAGTTTTAAGAGTTCGTTGTATGATTTCGGTAACCATCCTTTATCAGATGTCTTTTGCAAGTAATTTCTCCTAGTCACTAGCTTATTTTCTCATTCCTTTGATTAAAGTAACTTTGTATGTATAACTCAATTGGATCCAAAAAAATTTTAAGGTAGTCTAACTGTGTAACATGAAGTAATATTTAATAATAACCAATGTTTATCTATGTGTATGATACTTTGTATTAATGTGCTTCTCTTAAGCTAGAAGTACTGTTACTCCTATAATTTAGTGGAACATTACTATATTTTTTATTTTTAAATAATGTAGACATAGGTCACAGAAATAAATACAGTTTTAAAAAGTAATATATTATAAATTTGCCTCAAACAATATATTAAGTATTAAAACTGTATTTGAGAATAGCACTTTCACAACTGCAACTAAATTGTTTAAACAGAGCACTAGCCCCACTGGGTGACAGGTATATACAGCAACACCATGCTGTAAACATTGTTTTGAAAAGTGTATTCTGTTGTTCACATTTTTTTTTTAAGATTTTATTGGGGAATTGGGGAAGGGGAACAGTGTTGGGGAGTTGGGGAAGGGGAACAGCCAAGTTGTTGCCCTTCAGTCTTAATTGTGGAGGGCGCAGCTAGCTCAGCTCCTAGTCCAGTTGCCATCCAGCCGCCCATCGGCAGCTCGTGACTGCTCAGCTCAAGGCCCTGTGTATAATTTTAGTTGCGGGGGGGGCACAGCCTTCCATCCCATGCTGGAGTTGAACCGGCAACCTTGTTGTTAGGAGCATGTGCTCTCACCAGCTGAGCCATCCTGCCACCTGTTGGCAGCTCAGGGGCAGCTCAGCTCGGGCACAGTTCACTGGCCCATGTGGGAATTGAACCGGTGACCCTGTTGCTCAGAGCTTGTGCTCTTAACCAACTGAGCCACTCAGCTGGCCCCTGTTGTTCACATTTAATTTATAAAGTTATATGCTATTATATGAGGAAGAAGTATGTATAATTAAAACAAGCAACAGATATTTAATTAGTATGAAGTTTATTTACATGTATAAAAAATGTCTGTAATAGCAAATCCATTAAAACTAAAACATAATCAAGGATGTAGGAAAAATATGCAGTAAAAAAAATGGGTTTCTTTTTCCAGATAATGAAAATACTGATGTATTTGTACTGGATTGCCTTAAACCCTTAACCTGTTAGGAAAACATTTTTACACAAAAAAAATGTTGGAGAAAACACACAATACAGAAGATTGATGGCATCAATATATGTAATACATGTTCAAGATGACAAATTGGTGATCTACATCAGAATCTAGTTTAAAAAAAATAACAAAAATTCTAGACACTCTTCTAATAGTATAAGCACCATACGAGTATGCAACATTTCTTTGGTTTTTTTAAAGATTTTTTTATTGGGGAATCGGGGGAAGGGGAACAGACAAGTCGCTGTCATTTTGCTCTTCAGACGTTGCTTCACTGGCCCAAGCCGGCACCATCATTGCGCTCTTCCCAGGCGAGGCAGATCAGTTGCCGGCCTCTGGACGGCTGCTCACTACGGCTGCTGGCTGCTCACACTGGCTGCTCACACTGGCTGCTCACACTGGCTGCTGGCCACACACGGTAGCCCATGGCAACCCACTGCCACAGGGGCTGCAGCCCACGCCGTCACTGGTGACCCACGGCAGCCCAGCTCCAGGTCGAGCCGCTGCTCAGCATCTTAGCTGCAGAGGGCAGCATCACCAGCCCTCATATGTGGGATCCGAACCGGGGCCCTCTGGTGTTCCAAGCCAATTCTTAACCATTGCGCCACTCGGCCGGCCCCGAGTATGCAACATTTCAATCAAACTAATAACTAATAAAATTTAATTCATTCAATTAGAGCAATGATATGAATAATATAAAATTGAGTTTTTGAACAGCACTAACAAACCTTTTCCATTTAAAATTCTCTTGTACATATAGGAAAAGTATACACATATAAATTATCTGATAAATAGAAAAAATGGATTAGAATTTTACAAAGGGAAAACCAAAGAGACAGGATACTTTTGTTTCAGTTTTTCATTGTTCTGAGATTTTTTTCACCATCTCTGTGTTTTCATGCAGAGGGAACATTATTAACAAATGCAAAACTTTCACACAGAGTTTGTGCTCTCCTTTTTTTTTTCACTTTGAAAAGAGAATATTCTGTGTAGAATTCTCTCTCCTATTGAAGGTATAACCTTAGAAACGTGTATTTCTCTTTTTCTAGTCCCATGCCCTTTTTATATCCATATTCCATTCATTTCCTGATGGTAAGAGAGGGGAAAACTGATCTAATTAAATATGAAACTTTGTGTCAAAGTTGATTTAATGGTGAACACTAATCAGTAGCCTGGGGAAGAAGCACAAACAAAACAGACCAATCAAACAAAAAAATCCACCACCAAAAGTACAAGAATAGAAAAGGGTGAATGAGACAGAAATTTATGTCACTAATTTTATATTGAGATATTTTCATTTCAATCATTATAAGTATTTGTCAATTATGGTTCTATCACATTTTGCTTTTTGTATTTAAAGCATTTTGAGCTCAACATTGAATGCTCTACAAATACCAGTGATTTCACAATCTTAAAGATGAATTCTAGATTCATTCAAGTTAGAGCAACAGTTTTACACTAAATGATGGCACATGACAAACCTAGGCTGCTGCTGTGGGGGAAGGGGCTGTCACAGGTTCTGAAGCTAGCTTTGCAGTTAGACTCTTATGAGGCAAAGGAAGTAAACAAGTTTGTGGAATAGTTCAAATTATGATTCAATAAGATATAGCATATCTTGTATTTCTATTCATCGTAAGAAATACATGTGTGTAAGAATGCATATATATATATATATATATATATATATATATGCCTAAATACATTTATGTATATATGACAAATGCTTACAAATATCTCATACTGATTTAGAATTAAGTAACAAGATCCCTGGATTTCATAATGTGAGACAGTGTAATTCTATAGGTACAAGATGAGCCTAGAAAAGTATGCTTGCTCCTTCTAAGCCTAGCTTTCTCCAACATATTAGATTTGAGGCAAGTTACCCTTCTATGCCTTACTCTGTTACAAAGTGAGCAAAGCAGAGTTTGCCTCTGACCTTTTAAAGAGTATTAAAATAAGTGCAAAGTGCAAGGTGCAAAGTTACTTGAGACAAAGTGCTTATGGGAAGCCAAGGTATGACAAATAATAAAATTTTTATAGGTAATGTAGGTGGCTTTAAAAAGACCACTTTTCCTAATTATATGTAAATGTTGCTAAATGAGTTCTTTGGGACCAGCAACAGAAGAGACACAAGAATCTAAAACGTCTTTGGTAGTCAGTCTGTAATGGTTAAGGTCTTGCTTTTATCTGCCTTAAGATCATGCTGTTGTAAAGGAGAGACACATACATTCACACTATAATATGACATATGCTTTCTAAACATTTAATTTGGAAAGAATGATCAAATGCATGTGGGTTTTAGTCTCCCCTCTATAAAAATTATAAAATAAAATACAATTTTATAAATGGTCTTAAATAATAGGGAAATGCAATGTCTAACAAAAACATATAGAACAGAATTTCCTATTGTTTCTCAGGAGAATATTTCTTGAGCTCCTGTAAGGAAGAAACAAATTCACACATACATACACACCCACCCACATAAATTTGTACGCACACACTCCAGAAGTTTATAGCTCTACTACGTTATTAAGGAGACACTGGTTGTATATATATGATTAGAAGAGACAAAGTATAAATTAAAATGATTACCTGCGGTGTTTTGTGTCCAGACATTAAGAGATACAAGGGGTTGCCTTGTCCCAAACAACTCATTTGGTGCGTTAGTGCATAGCTTCCCAAGGGGAGTACTTCAAAGGTGACCGTAGTAATATTCTTTGTTCCAAATAACTCATTTAGCAACATTTACATATGATTAGAAAAAGTGGTCTTTTTATTTTATTTTATTTTATTGGGGAACAGCCATAGTCATTGGTTACACATTGCTTTCATGCTACAATGACATAGCTGACTCTTTTAAGGAAGGCACAGCTCAGTGGTCCATGCGGGGATCGAACCAGCAACCTTGGTGTTATCAGCAGCATGCTCTAACCACCTGAGCTAACCAGCCACCCCAGAAAGGTGCTCTTTTTAAAGCCACCTACATTACCTATAAAAATTATACCATTTGTCATACCTTGGCTTTACATAAACACTTTGTCTCAAGTAACTTTGCACCTTGCACTTTGCACTTATTTTAATCCTCTTTAATCAATATTATTTTAACAGCAGAAAAGTAAATTACTTTTTTTTAGGTTCTCAAGCTATTATTTAGAAGATTCAACAAAGTTTTAAGATAAATAATTATATATAGTCATATATAGATAATTTAACAATGAAGATGGGTATGATATGTCTACTCGTCAGAAACATGGGCTACTTTGTCAAGTTCTAGTCACTCCTAGGTTTGAGGCCTATTTATTTATTTGTTAGTATAGCAACTATTGCAAATCCTTGCCATTGCAACCCTCTGAAGAGCAAAATCCCTGGCAAGTGTTGTTTTTTTGTTTTTTTTTTAAGAAAGAGAAAACCATTGATCCCATTCCTCATAATGAAGCATGACTGATAGCAAGAGTTAACCATGGAAACCTGAAAAACATGATGAATGCTATGCAATAATTTAAACTATAAAACCAAGTATATCAAGGCCACCAATTTATATTGAAATGTCAAATTCTGTGAAGTATTTCCAACCAAAAAGAAATCCTAATAAAAAGAGGGTCTAATATTATGACTTGGGATAATTGAATTAGAAATTCTTACTTTTTATATATCCAACACAAAAAATCTACAACCTTTGTCTGCACAAAGGATACAACAAATAGTTCACCAATTCTAGTTATGACATCCATAACACAAATTTTTTTGAACTGTAAAAATAAACAACAAAGTGCTGTCTTCTCGACTGCAAGATACAGAGTCAATGTTTCTTATCAAGCTGACAATGATGAAAAATTCAGGTCCAAGACGCCAACAGAACTTCTCTTGTGTAGCACTCATGTTTATTCCTCCTTTACATCTTGCAGTTTGTCATAAAGGGCTGAACTGACATGTTTTTTTTTGATTCAGGGAAAACAAACCATTCAAATAACATGAATCTCCTGTATCACCAAGACGGCAAGGTGGGCTTAGTGAGATGGGAGCGACATGGACTTTTTAAACACCCTAAACCCTTTTTCTGGCCCAGGGTATGGTGGTGGTGGCGAAATATTGTGTTTTCTGGTCAGTGCCACTGCCTGTTCATAAGAAGGTAATCCTGTGTCTTCCGATAAAGGTGGCGATGGAAACAAGACAGCCTCTTCAGGTCTCCTGAAAAGGATGGCGGGAGCATGCTGGCCCCTTCTTATGTAGGTGGCTGAAGAACTAAACAGAGAGACAGCATTTAGGTCTTGAAAACACATTTTTTGGTTAAGATGGCAATATTAAAAAACCCAACTGACTATTTTTATAAAAGTTGAAGCAAATTTATTAATATAACAACAATTTTAAAGGCAAGTTACCTAACTCAGTTTCTTCCTCTGTAAAGTGGGGATAATAATAACTACCTCAACAGAGTGGCTTTGTGTGGCTTAAGAAAGATTTCGTATGTGAAGCAGTGTCTAGAACACTATATTAAGGACTCAAAACAATCTAATTCCCTCTTTCTCCTGCTCCTGCATGAAAACTTTCTCTCGGGGTGGCTGGTTAGCTCAGTTGGTTAGAGCACAGTGCTCATAACACCAAGGTTGCTGGTTCGATCCCCGCATGGGCCACTGAGCTGCGCCCTCCACAACTGCATTGAAACAACTACTTGACTTGGAGCTGATGGGTCCTGGAAAAACACACTGTTCTCCAGTAAAAATTGAAAAACAAAACAAAAAACAAACAAACAAACAAATCCCCTCAAAACAAGCTTTCTCAAAGTATGATGTGAAACCATCCAGGCTTTATTGAAAGGCAGCTCAACTCCAGGCCAAAGGAAACTGATACCACAGAGATAATCACAACAGCTGATGCCTGTCTGTCTCCTCTGCTCCTCTCTGCAGTCCTGCTGCCTATAGATAGATCCTTCCTAAACAGCACTTTCATCACATCACCCTTCTCTGTGAAAGTCTACTCTGCAGCCTTCTTTCCATCGAATCGAGTTCTAACTCCTGTGCCTCCTTTTCAAAGCCTCCCTTATTCTGGCCTCGCCTTATTTTTTATAGCTCTCTGCTCTTGCCAAGGTAGCCTCTTTTGTAACACTCCTCTGTATGTGCAATGAATTCTGTCCTGTCTCTGTGCTTTCACTGGTATTGTTTCCTTTCTCACATTATGTGTTTCCCCAAATCTATTGATCTAAGCACAATGTACTTTTATTTTTTTAATATGTCCTCATTCAAGTCCCACCATTTTCACAAATCTTTGTCAGCAACACCAGCCAAAATAGACATGCAGGGTCTAGTGTTTTGAACCTACGTTTTTCCCTTCTCACTTGCCAATTACAAAATGACAATTTAAACATTAGTAAATTGATCTGTTTAGACTGTGAAGCTGACTGTAAATGAAGTATCTATGCATAAATTAAATTTCTATACTTATGGCTAAGAAGATAATGAAAATTCATAGGTAATCCACAACTTCTAGTCAATATTTATAATATTCTTCCCAACATGAGAAAGTTGAGCAGACACAAAATTCTGTAAACTTTTCCAAACTAAGTCAGTCAATTTGCACCTTAAAACGCCTTTTCCTTTGGAGGTAATAATGATCTGAAGTTGGAGGGAAGGAGATGAGAAAGAGAGAGAAGAAAAAGAAAAGATCTGTGTAAATCTAGGTAGGAACTGGATAATCAGCCCTTCAAGTTGAGAGGTGATTGAGAGCATTACAAGTTTACTTAGAGGGCCTAACACAATTCCTCCTCTGTTAGGAAATTGGAATGTTTTCATAGGCTAGTCACTTGCCACGTTTATTAGCTTGTGACAAAAGTTATATTTGTTTATATGGAACAGGAGAGAAAGATGTTTTATTTGAACAAATACATTTTTGCATGTTGACTTTCAAAATTTTATAGAAAAAATATAAAATTGCATCAAAGTCATTAAATACCTACACAGCCATTTCTTACATACATTTTAAATGATTGAAATCAGAAAGTATATACCAATAACATCTCAAATAAACAGACGTCATATTATGCCTACTTTGCTCCATAAATTACAGAAACTAAGAAATGAAAAGATCCTGTTTCCCATTTCTTGGCATGTTTTTTACAGTGGAATGAGACAAACGTTTCTGACAATGATCTTATTTTTCACTCTTTTCTTTCTCAAATATTTCCTCACCCTTCCCCCACTTCCAGACTTACAAAATATAGAAAGAGAACAAATAACTCGGCTGGAAGAATTTCTTGGGACAATAGATGAAAAGTACTTTAGTAAGTATTTGAATGTTAATCCCAACATAGGAGAATGTTTGGTGAACCTAGTGTGAAATGTCCCCTTTAACTCAAAGGGCTGCTGTGAGGATCAAAGGGAGACAATAGATGTAAAAATGATCTGTCAACTACACAGCGTTATACTGTACCAACATTAAGTATAACTAATCTTATTTTTAAAATAAGAGATATCTAGAGTTCTTAAATTTTTTTTTTTTTTTTTTTTTTTTAGCTGAGCCATCCTGCTACCTGTTGGCAGTTCAACGGCTACTCAACTCAGGCTGGGAATCGAACTGCTGTTGCTCAGAGCTCACACTCTTGAGCGAGCTCTTAACCAACTGAGCCACTCGGCCAGCCCGATTCTTGTATTCTTTTGAAGGACCTTAAAAACAGCACTTTTAAATTTTTATGTAAGTGTTAATTAGGCAACGAAACAACTGTCATAGATTAGGGGCGACATGACAGCTAAATGCAATGTGGTATCTTGATTGGATCCTAGAGAAGAAAGACGGCAATGATGGAAAACTGGTGAAATCTAAATAAGGTCTGGGGTTCAGTTAATAGCAATGTACCAACATCAGTGTGTTAGTTTAAAAATGTACTATGGTAACATAAGATGTTAACAATGAGGAAAACTGGGTGAAAGATATATGGGAGCTCTCTGTGTGATCTTTGCAACTTTCCTGTATATCTAAAATTATTCCAAAATCAAGTTTATTTAAAAACATAGGCAGCCATTTTTTAATCCTTTTAAAAATACAGTACAGAATGTATAAAAGTGAATTAAATATTTTCACTTGGTTCTTACCCTGGATGCTGTTGCCTGTTACACTTAGTGATACAAAGATAGTAACCCAGTAATCCAAAAATAATCGAAAATACTCCAGCAGCAATTAGTCCAGTCAGAAGGCCCATAACATCAATTTTCTCTCTGTTACCACCTTAAGAAAAATCATTAAAATAACATAAGTATAACAACCAAAAAGTACCACCTATGATTTCATTAAATTTAACCCCAGGTCTAAGCACACTATTAAGCATCTAATAATTAATACTGATTTCTTTATTTTTATTTATTTATTTTTTGTTGTTTAGCTTTTATTTCATAATCATAAACTTAACTCTGCAACCCAGGCTA